TAGAACTTGATGGAATTGGCTCTGCTCAAGTAGGGTCTCATGTTTCAACTTAGCACCAAAAATTGGTTTGATTACTTTCTTAGTTGTGAAGGTTAAATTAAATATTTTACTAGACTTACTGGGCTTTTCAGGTTATGGAATTATTATTTCCCGATGGTTACAGGTAGAAATAAACTATAGGCAGCATACATATTTTGAGAGCCTAGGAAGCATCTGTTAATCCAAGTGCAGACCTCCAACCAACCTTGGTAAGACAAATTTGAACTCTGCCTAAAACCTAGACTTGACTCACTGTTTTGCTCTAAAAAGCTATGTATTATATGTAAAGAAACATCAAGTGCTGCTCTAAGTGAAACTATGGGTTTTTGTACTGTACAGTTGGTATATAGAACTATAGTAGAATGTAAATGATATAAGGACTGGACTCTTTTCTTTTGTTTATCATAATCTAACTATCCAAGTCCTATGAATTTTCTGCTTAAACACACACACATATGTATATGTTTTTTATTAAGCCCTTAACTCATTTATGTTTTGCTATGGAAATTCCTATGATCAGCAACTTCTTAATGTGGGGATAAGTTTTAATGAAATAAATAACATGTTTCCAAGGTAACCCTAAAGAATTTATTTGTATTGGGATGTAACACCTTAACATATATGTATGGGTAAGAATCTAGTTACACACAAATTTATACACTATACTTACAAAAAATTTCAATCATTCATCTCTATGCTTTTAATTATTAAGATTCATTTATATTTATTAAAGATAATTATCTTTTTCACTTAAAAGATCATGATAAATCTTACTCATTGAAAATACAGAGATGAATTGTTGAGATTTAATATAAATGTGGTATATAAAATTTATATATGAATGAATTCCTCTTTCTTTGTGTGTGTGTGAATATATATATATATATATATAATAAGTAAAAATTCATTTATATATAAATTTTGCATACCATATTTACGTAAAATGTCAATAATTCATTTCTCCACTTTCATTAGTAAAGGTTTATTTATATTTGTTAAATATAATTATTTTAAAAAAAATCATAATAAATTTTAACCATTAAAAATAAAGAGATAAATTATTAAAATTTTATATAAATGTAATATATAATATTTATATGTAAATAAATTCCATCATGTATGGTGTGTGTATATATGCGACCCATAGGAACTTAAAATTTGAATAGCCTGCAAATGTTTTGAATTATTGATCTCCACTTTGAATTTAGGGTTTAATGGATATAGCAGCGAGAGTAAGCACCAAATGGCTTCTTTCTTCCTTTTTTTTTTTCTTTTTTTCTTGAGGGGTATCAAGCACTAGAGGATGTGAATTGGGAGAGGTGATTTTTTCTTTCATTTTTTTCATTCGTGTTGGTAATTTCCAATTTGCTTGGCAATGTTTGGAAAACTTTAATGGGAAACGAAATTATTCTTAGTACTGTTACTTTTTTTTTTTTTCTTTTTTTTGGGTCAAAGGACGGTTACTTGTTAGCTAATGAAAGAATGTGATTTGTTGACCTTAGTTCGTAACTAGTAATGATGGAGAGATCTCAATAAATCATAGGTTTTGGGTTGTCTGATGTTCTCATTATATGAACTCAAACCTGAGTGCTTTTTGTGGTCAAATTGATCAGCTAAATGAACAACGTGCAATAAAATGTCATCGGGTTGTTGAGATGGTTTGATTTCTTGAATCACTGCGGGACCCATTAGAGATAATTGACTCGTGCTTTCCAACATTCAGGACTTTTCTTCCATGGTTCCATTCATTGTTTTTAATTGTCTTCATTATTTAAGATTAAAAAGGCAACGTGGTTTTAAACTTCTATAAATCCACGGTCAATTCTAATTTTTTTTTCCATGAATAAACAAAAATTGCAAATTAGAAAAATAATTATTCGAGTTTTTATTTATTCAGGAAAAAAAAAAAAAAGAGTTTTGAAACCAAAAGTATGATGCATATTATATTATATTATATTATATTTATTATTTAATAAAAATAAATTTTTTAATATTAAAAATCTGTTACTACTTAATAATCCTTATTTTATAATTTTACTAGTCCAGACGTACGGCAACTCATTTTGAAAACGTGGTCAATTGATTGGAAAGAATAGAATACATAGCCACCGACGGCGCAACACGGGAAGAGACTGTAGATCAAGGGTCAAACCCCGATTGCACCTTCGCTCGTGCTCGTCTGATTATTAAATGTCAGATTCAGAATGTGGACCTCATTTATCATAGGTGAAATACCCAAATCTAACTCCAAACTATAGTAATAGAGATGAATTCGTCCAAACAAAAATCAGGTATAAATTTACTTATAAAATTTTTAATTTGAATAAATTACTCTAAATTTAACATATAATGTCATTTGATATTAATAATTTATTAATAATAGACTTATTAGTAACATAACAAATTAATGAATTGTTAACGTCAAATAATGTTATACGTTCAATTTGAAGTGATTTATTCAAATTGAAAATTTTGTGAATGGTTTTATTTTCTTTTTTTTGTTCGGGATGGATTCATTTTTGCTACTATACTTTGGAGATGAATTTAGGTATTTTGCTTTTATTATGTATACATATATATATAAGAGTAGTTTATATTAATATCAATTTTTTTTAAAACATTTATAATTAAAAATTAAAAATTTAATTTAAAATTTAAAATTTTAACTTATTAAATATTGATATTTAAATTTAAAAACTGATTATATACTTTAATAAAAAATGCTATAATTACAATATCATATAATACTTTCATCCTTTTTGATCCATTTCCATTTTGACACAATTAGAGTTGAGCATTTTTTGGTATGAGTACAATATAAATTATATTTGATAGTTGATTTGAAAATTTTTAAATATAATTTTTTAGATTTCATATTTATTTAAATACTTAAAGACTTATACTTAGTATCTAACCTAATAGATATAAGGTAACTTATGAGTATATACTTTTATCTTTGACTTAGAGAAAAGAAGAGGTTTTATATGAGTTACTATTGTTGTGTGTATCATGTGTTTAATTTAAAATTTGTTATTTATAAAGAGTACTATTGTTGTTTGTGTTATACTGTTATTTCTTTAGCTTAGGGTTTATTTTTGTATTTTATTATTTTTACTTTTAAAAATTATTGTTATTATATAAATATAAATATAATAAATACAAGTAAAATTATAATTATATAAGTACAGGTAACAATTTAATTAAACAAGTCAGTAAAACAAGTGGGATAAACAATTTTGAATTTTTATATTTGTTACTTAATTTGATATTTATAGATATTCTGTTTTTATAGTTATTATTCACCTAATTTTTTTAGTTTATATATGATACTTATTTAAATTAATAAAATATTTGAAAGGGGTATATTCATCTTCATAGCCAATGCTGACTCCCAGACCCAATCATTGAATTGAACTGCATAAGAATTTCCAGCCCAAAAAACTGGACACTATTGATACTGATCTGGCCCAATCCAGAAACAACAGCGATGGTCCTAGCCCAACAATACTTGTAAAATTTAGAACAGGCTGTCTTAATTAAAACTAAAAGGTTTTTCTTTCTTTTCTTTTTTTTATTTTTTATTTTTTCATTTAGGCCCACATAATCATGCAGCACACACAAAAGAGATCTACAACAGCATCGATATGATGTTAATATTTTTTTGGTATAAGGAACATGTTAATAATCATTTAGCTTTTATAAGTGGTCCGTAACCATAATGTTTCAATTTCTAACCTAGAAATTAAAGTAAAAAAAACAGTGTTAGCAATCTAAGAAAAGTTAGACTGTAATCACAATGAACATGTTCTGTACAAAATGCTTTCTTTTAATCTTTTCTTCTTTCTCGTAGTTTGTCTTTTGGAGAGAGAGAGGTATTAAATTTGACAAATGTCCTTACTCATTTTAATTTATTGACTTTAAAGCAATGTATTGATTGATGAATTTTTATGAGGATGATACTTTGTAGTCTTAAAACCTATTGTATTCAACTAAAATTAATAGTTTTTGACAGATTAAACCCACTCTCCAATTTTCCCATTTTCAACAAAAGAATTGCAAATTAATTAAAAAATAATTTAAAAAATAAGACATTTTGATAATAAAAATATTAAAATATCTAATTATAATTACAAAATAAATAAAAAATGTAAGTTTCATATAAATTTTATTTATGATTAAGATTAAATATGTTAATATTTTTAATATTAAAATGGGTGATGTTATTGGGAAAACCTTTTTATATTACCTTTCTATAAAACTATTACATGTCTTAAATAAGTGGTGTTTTAAATATATTTAATATTATGAATCTCATATTAAGTAAAAAAATCAATAATTTTATTGATACGTCAAGCTATACAAAAAGATAAAACAAAAAAATTTTACAACTATCATTTTCCTATTAAAATATCTTAATTTCCACTTTTTCTCTCGAGAAAATAACACAAAAAAGAAGGAAAAGACGGAAGAAATGGGAAAAAAATGAAGCAAACCGGAGTGAGTCGCAAGCTTGCTTGTTACATAATATATTGTTAGTCAGCCATGCCAGCCCAATACTGGGCCTCACGGTGATGATGAAAATAACAAAAGTGAAAGTTCGTATAAAAGAAAGAAATAAAAGCAGAGCAAAGAAAAAAAAAGCTAACAGCCTTGAGATGCCATGATTCTCCAAATGTTCATAATCCTCATGACATAACATCATTGATGTCCCAATTCACTTTTTCTTTACCAAAACATTTTCATTTCATGGTACTCACAGACCAAATTATTATAAATTATACCAAGAAAAAATTAACCAAATTTGTATCTAATAACTTAAAATCTTTAAATTTTTAAGTTCAAATTTCCAAATCCTCATGTTGCAAGCAATTAACTTTTCTCCAATGTACTAAAAGCAAAAATAAAAACTAATAATCATTCCATTTAAGTTGAGTTGAGCCATATCTACCCACCTAGTGTTAGTGTATTACAGTTCGATGGCGGCAATTTCACCCCACTCCATGCCTGAAAAGCCCCTGGATTTCCGTGCCCCGCCGCCATCTCCGATCGCCAGCGGCCGCCGCTCCTGCGTCACCAATGATGATGTTCTCTCTGATTTCCTGGAGCATTCCCTTCGAGTCCCTGATTTAATTTTGCCTGACAAGGTGTTTCCTAAACAGAAATTTATTGAAAGCCCACCAACGGTTGATTTCCGGTTATTGGAATCCAGGGAGATTGAGTCTGTTTCCAAGATTCTTGATTCCGTGCCAAGAATTGGATGTTTCCAGCTGGTGAATTATGGCATTCCGGTGGAAGTGATACGATCGGCGCTGGCTGCGGCTACCGGAATCTTTAAAGTGCCGAGGGAAAAGCGGGCGGTGGTGACCAGGTCGCCTGAAAGGCCATATGGGTTTGAAGAAGTTCACGGGGAGGATGAGACTGAATTGAGTGAAGAGTTTGTGTGGTGCAGAGGTGGAGCTTTGAAGTTGGAAATGGAGGGAATTTGGCCAATTGGGTATCCAAATTTCAGGTAATAACTGCCAATCCTAATGGTTTACATTTCTTACTAATGATTTGATTTGAAAAAAGACTTCGTAGAAGTAATTCCTTGTGAATCTCCTAATTTCGACATGAATGACTTTGATAAAAAAAAAAAATAAATACTATTTCATGTTAGTAAATCTTCCTTACTGTATTGTTATTCCTAAAATGCAGTGAGAAAATGGAAAATCTTTTGTCCGATATAGAGAAGATTGCTGAGAAAATTCTTCTAGTTTTCCGGGAAAGTTCTTGGGTGTATGAAGATGAGAGGAGTCATGGAGAAGAACAGGTTGGACCAATGTGTTATGTGTACAAGCATGGGCAGAATGTTTCAGGGGAAGAGAGGAAGAGCTCCCTGAGGTATGATGTGATACGAATGCTGATAAGAGGGATTGACTATTCACATGCCTTGTGTTTGCATGTATGTGATGGGTCTTCAGACTTTCATGTGTACTCAAAGAAAGGCTGGGTGTCTTTTTGCCCAGATAAGGATGCCTTGGTCATTACTGTTGGGGATCAAATCCAGGTAACAATCAAACATATTTTTGGGTTCAAAGGAACAAAATATTTCAACTTGGTTTGTTTGCATTTAATCCCTTAGTCCTAACATAAATGACATATTTTACACTGAACCGAAGAGATGAGTTTAGTTTAATCAATACTAGTTGATTTAAAATATTTACATGATTCAAAAAGTAAGATAATAATATATTAAAATTATAGAATTATGAGAAATTACTTTCTATCGTTAGCTAGTTTGAGAATCTAGATCTCATTACACTTACGTTTCTATTGATTTTGGCACAGGCATTGAGTGGAGGACAATACAAACATGTTATGGGGAGGCCAATTTATAAGGATGAGAAAGAAGAGTGGATTTCTATGGCATTTTTATATTCTGCTACAAGTGGCACTAGCAGTAACGGTGGTTGGTCTAAACTAGACAAGGGGAAGACTATTTCAGTCGGCCAGCAAGCCATAGTGGCTGTTCTTGTAACTCTTGTATATCAATTTTTAGCTTATGTTTACAGTAAATTTTGATTTTTGAAAGATTCATCCATCCATTTATGAGAATTATACATCCTCGTATTCATGGATCATAACATCTTCCTACATTTTCTTCTTTCCTTTCTTGATATTTCGACATTACCCTTTCAATTTTGATCTTAATTCTTTTAACTTAATATTCTAACGTAGGAGAGAAAAAAAAAAACTCAGAGAATGAGACGTGTAACTGGTTCAGGTAAGAATAAGTTCTCATGCTTGAGCCAGGAATATGTTCATCTGGAAAGAATAGACTGCAGGCCTTTCTGCTCCCCCTCCCCCCCCTCCCTCTCCTTTTTCTGCTTTTTTGAAATGGGCCAATCTTACAAGGTCGAACCAGGACTTGGAAGGACGGCTAGCCTTAGAGCTCAGCACATGAATCATTAGACTAGAAAGGCAGGTTCGTTGCAGTTCGAATTGCACCAACTTTTTTCGTTTTTCAAACACATGGGTCAGGCATGAATCCCTACAGATTCCCTCGTTTAATATTTTATAAAAAAAATTATAACCATTGCAATGCCGTTGATTAATGGCGCAGATCCTCCTCTCTGTCATGCATTGTCTGAAAAAGTCTAGACTTAACAGTTGTGCCAATGTATTATTGCACTTACCTGCAAAAACGTCATTCCAATAAAAAAGAATGCAGCTAGGGGAAAGAAATAAAAACAATGATATTTTGAATCTGCCCTACACAGGGCTCCATTGAGACTATACAAAGTTAATAGATACCCAACATTGTGGGTTTCCTAAAAAGAAAAAAATCCACACAACGCAACTACTACAAGATAGAGGTCCAACTAAAAGCTTCTATACTTCGGTTACAGTTAATTAAAAGCCTGTACCCATCAAAATTTCCCTAAGCCTACACAGTGCCCCAGAGGAACAGCTAGACAGGGTAAACTTGGCGACGGGCAATTTCCTTTGCTTTTGGGAAGGGCCCACCCATGCAAATATATATGGGTAGTAGCTTATGAAACCGTTCGACCATAACAAACTGAAGCAATATAAAGATTTTTTGCCCATTTCTCCTGCAAGACACTCGACAAAATTAGACACCAAAGAAATTGAAAATGGCTGTGAAACAGTGAAAGCTTTCGTAATGGTTTATCCACCTTGACATGCACGCTGGGAAAAGCTGAAGTTCGAAGTGTTTCCTGTGTTTCATCCATGGGCTTCCTTCTTGGCACGCTAAGAATAAGAGCAGCCTGGTCTGGAGTTGCTGCAATAGCTGTGATACGATAGCCATTGTCCCATCGACGATGAATGCCTTCACTAGGATAAAGGAAGTCCAATTCAACAACCTGAAATTGAAATATAATCAATATGTTGCCAACATGCATGCCAGAAATTATTGGGATGAAATGTTATTGAATCTAAGACTACCTGGTCAGTAAATCCTGCACCACGAGACATAACAACTCCCCATCTACCACCAGAAGTGGCCATAGAGGTGACATAGAAGCCCTCCCTCCATTTCTTGTTAATCCACTTGAAAGGAAATGAATCACTAACTTTGTATGACTGCTGCAAGTACTGTGTACCTGGAAGCAATGAATCACAAGTAAATCCGTGGGGATTTAAATAAATTTGCCTGTAAAATCAGAAATTAAGATGACCATAGTACTAACCTTTAGACATTACTACTAATGAGCTTCCATTTACAGCACCTGCTATCGAACTGATGTAATAGTTCTTTTCCCATTGCTCCATTATCCATTCCTTAAAACATAGCAGAACATTAAAAAGTCAATTGCTTCTTTTAAAATAAAATTACATTCTTATTTGGAAGCATAGAATAGAAAAGCATGTACCTTGTGAAGAAAGTAAGGTGAGTGTTCATAGACTTGTGAAGCAAACCCAGTGCCCGCGTCCATAATAAGAGCCCATAGACTTTGGCAGGAAGCTACACAGCTAATAAATAAGCCATCCTCGTATCCTTTCTCAATGTGCTGCTCAAGCCTTCCATCTGCAACATTATAGTGATACCTAATGGCACAACGAAACAAACTTCTCATACTTAGCTAATTGAATTCTCTAGATAAACAAAAATTGAAATAAAAAAGTGAAGCAATTCAACTAGATGAGCAAAAAAGGCTCAAAAACCAAAATAAATAATGAACTCGATGCATTGTTACCTTTGCTTCATAGGTCTACGAGCATTGTAAACACTAATCCATTGGGTTGCTGGCATGCCCATACGAATTTTCTTCTTTGGTTGTTCATCTTCTTCCTCCTCATCAGCTGATATGCGGCCTCTCTTATGACCAACTTGATAAATAAGCTTCACAAGTGAAGAAAATAGATAAAACTTTAGTTGTTATAATTACCTTCCATTTTTTTAATAAATACACAAATAAATAAACTTTCACGCCCAAATACTTTCCACCTCAAGAATAAAAACCATTAATGTAACCAACAGAAAAAATAGCATATATATATACCTTCTGTGCACCGTCAGTGTTAATAGGCCGGATGTCTGGATTTGGACCAACAATCCCATCAAATAGAGAAATGTATTTTGCATAATTAGGTTTTTCATCAAACTTTAGGTTCACAACATATTCAACAAACTGTCTGAAAGGATGAGGACATGAGCAACACAAAGACTCTGGAGATGTTGCCATCTTCTTCTTGCAAACCAGAAATCCTTTATTCTCTCCCTACACCACCAATCATGTTAAAAAACTGTAAGCCACGTTCAAACCATAATAAAAATTTAAGAAACTTAAGTTTATTGTGGGATGAATTTTTGCCCCAAAATTTTTAAGCAAATTACCAACCTGGTATCCTTGCCAAGGCAAACGACCTCGAAGAAGGAAAATGAGTGTATAAGCAAGAGATTCTAGATCATCTCTCCTACTACCAGTTCTTCCTAAATGTGCATGCACGCTGGCATACCGCACCGTTCCCCTGTCAGACAGGCAAAGAACACATTTTAAACAAGAAATATCAAAGGACTTGCATGAACTCTTTACAGGCATTGTGATAAACCAATGAAATACCTGAAAACATCTGGTCTCTGATCATATTCAGCATGCGATCCCGAACTATCGCGCCACTTAGTAGCTGAATTCTCAAACAAGTTAAGAAGTATGATTTAGCTAACCCAAATGTACAGTAAGGGCTTCACAATGAAAATTATGCCATTTTTATTACCTAATCCTAGATCAACAAGAAACAATTTCTTCTCATCTGGAGTTCCTGGAGGACCAAGGAGAAAATTCTCAGGCTTCACATCTCCATGCACATATCTGTCAAGACAGCAGTGAAATCATTAATAAGCTGGAAGAAAGAATAGAGCATGATCAAGTTGCAAAGTCAGCTTTTATAGCATATTGACTAAGCAAAAGTACAGGTTCATTAATCCCATTCCCATCTAACATATTTTAAGCATAGAAAATAGAAAACAGGTTTGTCCTTAAATAATCTAAAAAATGAGAAGGCAAAATGAATGTTGATTCAATTGATCATTGAGAATTCCTTCGCTTGGATGCATCAATCAAAGATGGAAAAATTACCAAACTGAAACACGGTGCAAAAAAAGGGTAAAGAGAGGAGCTGCTTTGGAGACCAAGGCCATTTGAAAACAAGGAAAGGGGATGGAGTTGGGAAGTTAATTGCTTACCCTTTGGAGTGCATCTTCTCCAATATGGATATTGCTTCAATCGCAATGCAAGCAACCATCTCAATGGACATGCTGTGGTTGAGAATAAATTGAAATTAATAAGCAAATGCCTGACAATATAAAGTAGTTGGCAGCAAAATGTTCAAAAATATATGTTAATGGAACTTACGTGTGAGAGTTATTATTCCAAACATCCCATAAACTAGGGCCCAGCATATCCATAACCTACATGAATTAAGAGGTTTAGTTGGACATTTAAAAGCAATGCTAAATTCAAAGAGGGTAGCACCTTAAATTTTCTTTACTTCAAAAAAATAAAAAAGCACTTTACAGGATAAGATTGCATACCATGACATAATAGTCACCTTGTCGTCCCTTGTAGTGTACACGTGGTATACCATGACTACCACCAAGAGTGCTACACAATTGACAAATTATAAGAACAGCATTCACAAATATAACACAAGTCCACAAATCTCAAAAATTAAGAAGTGCAACATACTCACTTGTAAACTTGCCACTCATAGGGAGGCCCATAGTTACATCCTTTGCTACTTCTATGCTCAAACTTCAAAGCAACCTAGAAAATGCAGACATGACAAGTAAAGATCAGACAATATTTTTACACATGGGAAAATAGAATTAAGCAATTTAAAAAATGTGAAAATCCCATACCTCTAGAACACTAGGGCCAGTTCTACTTCCATCTGTATCTACAGAAACACGACGACCAACATACACTTGTCCAAAGCCACCCTTGCCAAGCTTCCTTTCAAGTCTGTACAATGGGGAACCCCCGACTTGAACCTGCAGGAAGGTAATCCATGAAAAATATTCACTTTTAGGACATAAAAAAAGATATTCATAAAAAATTAAAAAAAAAAAAAAGAAAAAAAAAAGGAAAGAAAAACACCCTATATCCTCTACACATGCCATGAAAAACTTATAAACTCAATTTCTAAATTTTAAGACGATAAGGGTTTCCAGGGCAACTCAAATTCCCAATCTTTTTCTTTTTGGGGCTGTAGGGTTATGTTGGATTTGACGTTGCCAAGAGTGTACAGGAAACCGCATAAATCAAGCAACTTCTCTTCTAAAGGAAAAAGCCCATTAACATACAAATTAAAATGCAATGACTGCACTTTCTTACTAGGTATTTTGCACCTAAAAAAAGAGTCTCTATTACTGATCTCTCGTTCACGAAATTCAGAGGTAAAACTTTAAAAAGACAACTATGGAAACTTTTCCTGTTTAAAAACACTCAAATAGTCGTTTTGAGTGTTAGAATTACTAGTTTTCCATCCTTATTACCGTCAAGGACTATTATTTCAGGTTTTTGGAAAATTGCTGCCACCTTGCTGACAGAAAGGAGTGCATGAGAATGAATGGTAGCTAGTAAGGCAGTGATCCAACACAAAAGTTCATATATCCCCATAAGAAAATGGAAATACACGCAAATGAAGTCATACTCCTAAATGTGGAACCTTAAAAAGCTCATATATCTTCATAAGACAATGGAGATACACACAAATGAAGTCATGCTACTAAACGTGAAATCTTCCATACCTTGTGCTACAGTCCTAGCATCAATTATTTGCAAAAAAGCTAGCCCATTTTCTACGTTTATGATCACCAGTAGACTTGGCGATATAAAAATTTGATCAACAAAGCAAAGCAAATCAATTTGCTCAGACGCTGTAACATAATATGTTTCCTGGGAATGAAAATAGATAAAGAGAAAAAAATCAAACCTTTTCTGGAAGCGGTGCTGTACTCCCTTCATCCTCACCAGCATTGGCCTTGTCATTCCCCCCACTGTCAAACTCGTCCATATGCTTCTCCCCTACTTCTTCCTGATCCTTTCTCACTCCTTCCTCTAAAGCCCTATTATTCTTCCGATTCTCTTCCTCCTCCTTCAACGCACCAGCTGCCGTCGCGAGCTCTAATTTCTCACCAACAACTAGCTGTGGCTCTTTCTTCTTGTTGTCGTTTTTGTTTTCTTCGTTATTATCCGGCACTGGAACCACTCGCGCCTCCGCCGCCGCTGCCGCCGCTGCTGCAGCTCGACGTCTCCTAGTCCTAGTGGCAATCGCCTCCCCTGCCTCGATCGGATTCGGCTGCTGCTGCTTCTTCGTTGCTGCTGCCCGGCCCCTGCGCGCTCCGGTACGCAGTTCCGGCATCGTTCATTCTTTACCAATTCTCATCACCCAAAAACCTAAGATCTTGTTATTCCCCTGAAACCTCTTTTACTGTATCCCCTCCTTTCCCTTCTCCCGCAACTGCCCAATCATATCAAACCAAAAAAAAACTTAAACGAGAATCAAAAAGGCAGTGCAAAATCATCAACAAACGAAAATCTATCAAGAAGAGAAAGGAAAATGCACACGGCCATGAATATACCAAAATCCAAACTTCAAACACCGGAATCACAAAAACCAATGAATTGATCGGAGAACAGGAATTCAGAATCCGCCGGTTAGATAGTCGGAGATCTGTACCAAGAAGAGACTCAGCACCTGCACTAGGAAAGACGGGAAGATTTTCTATATTATTACAATATTTGCATGTGAAAATTTTATATAGCCGTCGATGAGGAAGAATGAACGGATGGATTGGGATTTGTTGAGGAATTGATTTTTTTGGGAGAACAATCATGAAAGTGAAACTGAGCTAAATTACAGGAAAGGACTTGGGCTTGGATGATATTACTGTCCGGGAAAAAACCTTATACATGCACAAGCCAGCCAGGAAGCGGTGCGGTGTGGAAACGTCTTCGGTCGGTTTTCTCAGTGCTTCCGGGTGGCGTCGCAAGGTGTGCTGGCTTAAAGTTCCATTTGTTGAGTTATGGGAATCACATCCGTACGATAGGTTGTGGGCCAAGTAGATAACTAGTATAAAAAATAAAAATAATATAGTTATAATATTA